AGAAAGTGCATTGCTCTGAATGATATTCTACAGATGTTGCATTAAATATTCCTTTCTATTAATGCATTTAGTTGGAAAAGCTGATGTTTCAGCTTCTTCAGTAATACATTTTCTCCCAAAATGTGATAAAATGATGGGTCCAGCAAAAAAAACAAACAAAGTTTGCAGTTTGAGTCATTCATTACATTGGTTTGAAGGAATTAACTGACCCTATGAGTCAGTGTGGGAATTAGTAGTAGCTAGAACTGTCACCAAGGTGTTCTAGTGTTTGGCTTATTGTCACTGTGAATAGGAAAAATGAACACCACCCAACTACAAAATATACTGAGAAATGCAAATAGCAGTTGCAACCTTTTATAGGGTAGACTTTCCTTACAAGTCATATGACGTACAGTATTTGCTAAAAATAAAAACCTCAAGAAACAGCAGATAATCATAAATTTCATTTCCAGCAATTTGCGTAAGTTGACTAATGTCCCTTCAGTTATTACACCACAAGAAAGAGCATACTATATTTGAAATAATAGCCTGCCTAGCAGTCTAAAGTCCCAGGTAATAGTTATGTACGTAACTGTTGATCAAACAGAGCTACACTGTGGGAATTTTGTTGGCTTGGGGATGAGGGCCATTAATTTGACAGTTGATGGAAATGGATGACACTGAAGGACTGTGTTTGTTTGAAAGCGTGTGACTCACGGCATGATGATGGATGTGGCACATCCCTTTGAACCAGCCTCACAAGAGAGCTCAGTGTGGTTACTGTTGACCTCTAGTGGCAGAACCTGTCATTAGGTTTAAAGTTGAGCCCAGGAGGCCGTGACATTAACCTTAATTTAGTCTTTCTCAGATGAGATTAAAGATTTTCACTGTAAAATACTTTGCCCCGAATACATTTGATATTTAGATGTCACCTCTATCATCTTGGTATGTATATATCATAAACACCTGAACACTGGAGCTGCACCATCTTTCACTGATACTCTTCTACTTTACAAATTAAGATTTTAAAATGTATGACTAGTTTTTAAAATGAATCTAACTACCCATAACTACATAAAATAGTTCAATTAACTACAACAGTAAAAAGGCTGCTTATACATAAATGCATCAAAAGAATAATATTTAATTCTGCATTGTGAATAGTTTTGGGAACTAAATGACTCTCATATGTGTCTCAGAGTTTTCCAAGGACATGTTTTATTTTTACTTATGCACATGTACAGGCACTACAGTTTGGAAATTACAGCAAAATGCTTAAAAAAAAAGAGAGAAAGCCCTTAGTCCTCTAAAATGTTTTCCTCAACAATGAAGATCATTGTTTTCAGCATGAGTAAAGGATGGAAAAGAAAGGAGCATTGGAGTACTTTAAAAATATGGTCTGACATCCTTCACCATATGACAGGAGGTTCACAGTAGATGTCGCAGTTGTACACACTTTTGCAGTACACTGATTAAGCAGTCCCATTTAGTTTCAAATACAATGATGTTACTCTAAGACAATTAGGACTTAAATCTTCAATCAGACAAAAAGGGCCTATGTGTGCTGTGTTGGTGTAAACGTGAGCTAAAAAGCTGGAGTAAGATCCTCTGGAAGCAAGCTCTCTTTCACTTTGTCAAATGTGACAGCGTGGTAGATCTTAGTAAGGCTTTTTTAACCACTTTGAACTCAGATACAAGAAGCAACACTTAAAAAAAAAAAGCCCACAGGAGACTAAATACCATAAAGAGACATTTCCTTCCTGGATCCTGTAGAAATGAACTTCTTTCTTGCAGCAGAGAAGACAAATGTCTCATCAATATTTCACTGACAGATCCTGTTTCTGCTTTTCTCGTTGCAGCTTTCTCTGCCTGCATCTGTAAGAGAACACCTGCGTTCCTCGTGGATGAGGGTGTAGTATTTGCCAACCCCTGGGGTTACCATGAGTAACAAATCAATCTCATATTACATGTACTGCACTGCCACATGCACTCCTAATCTTGGTTTGACTTAGTTTTCCTTATTAAAACAAAACACTTAAATACATTACAGTCTGCTTTTGGTAAACAATAAATGGCTTGCCAATGATATGCAATTCAAATCAATGGCATTATCATCCTGATAAGAGTTTCGATTCAGTTTTCGATCAGTAATTTGGTGGAAACGAATTAAGACCATGCACTGGATCATTCACATCAGAGAGGTAAACAGTGTGTGGGAACGTCGGCATGCATGTAATCACAGCGATAAGAGCTGGAAGCTGATAGTGCGGAGTCACTGACATTAACTCATACAGTAGACAAGTCTCATTAACTGCAGGAATTAAGTAAGAAATGAAAACCTTGACTCTGACTGAAGCTAATCTTCCACCAAAACAGCTGCAGAAGGATCTGTTCTTGGGATCTGCATTATTAATGCATGTAGAGACAAAAAAACTACTTGAAATTTAATAATTAAAACAGGAACATTGTTGTTAATGGGCAGGACAGTGAACGTTAACATGCACAATTCTTGCTGTGTTTGGGAGAGCATATATTTCCATTTCAGAGAGAAGCTCTGCTGAGAGACTGTGTGTTTTTTTTACTGATGGTGAGCAGTCTTTTATCAAAATGCTAATTCAATGACATGGTGTGCAGTGGAGCAGGAAAACAAATCTAGCTCAACATTTTACTAAATATTTTTCTTGCAGGGAGTTAGATGAAAAAAAAACTGATCAAAGCTACAGCCAGCAGCTGGTTAGCTTAGCTTAGCATGAAGACATGAGACGGGCGGAAACGGCCTGGCTCAGTCTCTAAACCTCACAAGCCATACAAAAATAACAAATAGAGGTTTTGTGGGGGAGGGTTTGTGCCATAAGTATTTCTTAGCCATGGGCACTGACTTTGAAAACTGGGAAATATAGATTCTCCAACAGAAAAAAAGAACCCAAACATGAACGCTTCTGGTGTTCTCCACAAGCATTGGTGCTAATGGAGGGCAAAACCACTGGAGAAAACATATCATTTTAAAGAGAAAATACTGTAAATATGCCCTTATCCATAAAAATGCTGTTCCAGGTGCTCAGGTAGTTGATGAAACATAAAAAAAACCTTCAATAAATATGAGCTAATGCATTAAAATACATCAGCACATACTACGTATGTGTAGGTTATCCACTTCAGTGTTCTACAGATTACCAGGAGTTTGTATGACTAACTCCGTAAGGCCCCCTCAAATGAAAATGAGACATCTATGTCAAAGTGGCCCCACTTCCATCCTCCAACCCCTCTCAGTAATACTGTAATAATCTTTATTTGTAGAGCAGCAGCTTGGGGCCCTGAATGCTAGTTTTCAGCTGGGCCTCTGAGGTCGATAAAGACCTCAAACACTGTAGTTACAATTACCATAAATAACTTATTACTGGTTTAGTTCTTGTATTTAAAGGCTGCAATAATGCTGGTTTAAAAAAATTGCTTTATTTTGCTACTTCAAGTACCTTTATTGCCTCCATGTGTGTCACAGCCACTGTGTTGTCAAGAGGGCCACACTGCAATAATTAACTTCCTGCTGTTTTTAAAACGCTGGCATGCACCGGACCTCTGCACCTGGTGACACAGAATCTTTGTCTTGTGCCTTTCTCTCTGCATTAAACAAAGGAGATAAAACTTTTTAATAACTGGTTTTAGGAGTGTTGGTTGGTGGATTTTGTTACCCTCAGACAGAGCCAGGCTAACTCCTGCCTCCTGTTTCCAGTCTATATGCTACGTTAAGCTAACATACCCCTGGCTGTACCTTCACATTTACTTTACAGATGTGGGAGTGGAATCAAACTTCTCCTCTAACTCTTAGGAAGAAAGCAAATAAGTACTTTTCCAAAAATCCTGAATGATTCCCTTAAATCTAAACATGTAAATATTTCACAGAAAAAAGAAAACACTGTATTCAATGAGGAATAAAACTGTACAGGCATCAAGACTGTAAAAAAAATGATTAAAATATATACATGAAATGCACAGTTCATTGCTCATTCTTGCTAACCTGGCATGACTGATGATACCATATCAATATTATGACCAGAGAACATACTGTATGGCATGTTAGCATCACAACTGAAATCAAACACAGCTACACACAAAAGAGACTAAAACGTTTTGCTTCAGTTGCAGTATCGCAAGGTGACCTTGTTTCAGTACAGTCTTGTCTGTGATTAGTGCTGAGATGAAGACGGCTCACTGTGCCCGACAAGAGAGGAAGCTTTGCTTTGAAGTCTCTGGCAATGTGTAGTTATGACTGGACTGTTCAGTCTGGGTTTGCCCTCCGACAAGACAAGTGTCCTCAGCTGCAACAGTTAGATCGGTTCCACGTAATTGGCCGGGTACAGACCCAGCTGGCCGCTGTCTAGACGACCTTTACACCAGCCCTGTTCATCCTCGTCCTCCAGCTTCGTCAGCTCATCCCCTTTTAAATGAGAGGAGAAATGAGCAGCAGGGTGTGATTATATAGGTTCCACTTTATGTATTACAGAGTCAACCCCACAGCAGTCAGGAAGAATACCAAAGGAAGATGTATGAGTACAAAACATAGCAGCAGGAAAAATAGCAACAATCCACTGCTCAGTCTTCTCCAATGTAATTATATTTAGGTTTTCTTGTCCTCTATGAAATGAAACTTAAAGCTCACATGAAACATAAACTTGTTGTACCAAGCTGAGAACAGATTGTTCAGAGGTGCAGTGACATTATGTCCAGCAGCAGGAACTGTAACCCTGACCCTACAAACAAGCAGGCTTGAGTCACAGCTGAGTGACTCAGTCAGGGAATGACTGTTGTGTCCCAAGATAAACAAGGCTTTCTGACTGCTGACACACACCAGATATGACGCTCACCTGCCCTGAAGCTGAGTTCGTCCTGCTCTTGGCCGTCGTAGTCGTACAGCGCTCTCACTCTCACGCCTTTGCCCACATCTTCATCGAAGGGATTCGTCCCTCCATTGGTGTCGTTGCCTGAGTTCGGCGCCGTCTGGTCCTCATCCGACCACTCTGTGGAGGCCGGGTATGCCTGGTTCTTTTCATAACTGCTGACACTGAACGCAACACGTTTCAGCAGAGCATAAATCATCCGCATGTCCATGAACGAGTGTCATGATGTACTGGCACTAACTCTGCTCCAACTATTACTGCCACTGTCTATGTTTCACCTTTTTAATGTGTAGTTTGATATTGTACTTGTTTTTATTACCTTGTAAATCACTTCTACGATCACTGCTCTATTACCATTACTTTTAATACTACTACAGTACTTAGCAGTATTGTATGAGCAGTTGAATTTTGAGTGGTTGTAGCTGTGATGATAAGATAATATTTATTCATTTATAAATATGGATATAAATGAAATACATACAAACGATTTTAACATATGAATAAATGATAAATAAATAACTGGGTTCCCGTTTGCAGGATGAAAGTGATTACAGCAGATGTAGGGTATGAAGATAAAACTCAGCTCTGGGTGTCAGGAGCATCTAAAGAGTACTTAGATAAAAAATACTACATTTATGTAATTGTACCTTCCCTGGTCTCCAGCTAGAGTCTGGTCTGCTGCTGTGACACTGGTCAGCATGACTCCATCGCCGCCTTTCTTTGACTTATCTTTCTTATAAAAGTTATGGGTAAGGTCTGGGTTGTACTCCTGCAAAACATGAGACAAAACCTGCTTAGGGTTGGAGTTTTGGCACTGTACAGTAGTTATCCAGGTATCACTCAGTATGTTGCACTGGAATAACAGTCATTTCAAATGATACTGATCAATAACTGGAAGCTGTACACTGTCTCAACATTCTATAATGAGTTACACAATGATCAGCTCTCAATTTGGTACAGTATCATTAATGGAAGTGATATTTCTCTGTCTTTGTACAGATTAAACAAACAAAATATAACATGTTAATAAGTTAGCCTTAATGAACTTTGGAACTTTTGGACATAGCCAAACTAGCCAAACTGTTGTCTGCAGCTTCATATTGTATCAAGCTTCTCATTTAGCCATCTGTGAGAAAATGAATAAACACATTTTCCACACCAGTTTAATGATTGGACACTGTATAAATCAGAATGCTGCAAGTCTCCAGTGATGCTATAATGTCTTTATATTGTATTCTGTATTAAACATCTTACTGACATTGTAAAACTCCCTGATAGGTTGGATCTGCTACTTGGAGTCAAGCTCGAAGCAGCTCATGTGGAAGACAATCACCTATAGGCAATATAATGTACTGAAATCACTGATCAAAGTAAACACTAACTCATATGTTTCTGCTATCAGCAGATAAAACCTTCTTTGAAAAATGCATAACATTGTGAGCATCGTTTGTTAATTTGTGTTGTTGCTACTGATTCCCACAAACTGCGTAGGCCTCTGACATCAGCAGGCTTGTTTGGAGCAACCTTACTCAGAGGAATGATACCTCTGTACCTCAAACTGTGGCCAGTTCATATGCATGCTGGGACCATTTGTGTTGCTGAACCACTTAAGATCCTCTCGCGGGCTGGCTGACATGATGGTGTGTTCAAGTTCTCTGTATACTGTAGCATAGCTGTAAAAACACAGCAAACATTTAGTGTAACAATCAGCCAATGACGATGTCTGGTCATATTAACTGCTTCAAATGAGTCAAACCTTTGGTTCTCTGTGAGGTTGAGGTGGCGTTTGACGTCCAGTAGCACCTCCCTGAGGAAGCTCAGCCTCTTCTCTTCAAACTGCTGGCACTGGTCGAAGACATGCTCCATGTTTTCCATGTAAGGTGGGGTGCACTTACTCAGCTCATCCAGTGCTTTCTCATACTTCTCCTTTGCCTAGGTTGTGACACAAGCACAAGCAACCAATTCTTAACAATATAGAGCACAGTAAATGTTATGTGGCATCTCAGTGATGTGAGGACCACCAGTACTTTAATGACATCTCTTGTCTACATGTTCCAGTTTTCATTTCATTCAAAATGTGAATTCTATTAACCCAGAAAGAACAATAAATGTGGATTCAAAAGCAAAAAAGAACAATAATTAGGAGCTTGAGGGTTTAGGTCCACTGAGAACAGTTCACATTAAAGGAGACATGTAAAGGACCAGGTGTGTATTCAGTCACACATTAACAATGCTACTCTGACTGGCTATGCTGCTTTATGCATCTCACAGCAGCCTGCACGATAGATGCTTTGTGCAATGATGAGCCTACAGGCCTGTTAGAGCAGCAGCAGCAGATGTTCTCACCTTCTCTGAATCCTGTTTGCACTTGTCCACTTTCTCATGCAGTTTCTTCTGCTGATCCGCTGTCACAGAAGCCTCTCCTTTGCCGCTGGCCTCTCTGGCGGACGCCAGCCTCTCCTCTTTGCAGGCCATGTGGTACGACTTCTTGGCAGCCTCAAGCTATAACATAACATTTACACTTGAGATAACCATATGTTTTTGCACTGATGTTATACGCTGCGTAAACCTACACATATGAGAAATACCTAAATAAAGTAGGGCTCTAACAGTATGTTATTATTTTATCATTTGGTCTATGAAATGAATGAAAACTGTGAAAAATGCCAAACACAATTTCCTCTGGTTTGACAGATTGAAATATTACAATTGGAAACTCAGACAGAAACACTTTACTACTCTACTGTGGAGTTTTTCAGTCCGTCGGCATCTCCCACAAACTAAACCCCCTTCGTCACTTGTGGCAGAGATTTCTAAACATCTGCAAATAAAACAAATCTCTCTGTAATTTGGATGAAAAATGAGTCCATGAGTGCAACAGAAGGCACACTCCCTCACCTCTTTTAGCTTTTTGGCCCAGGGTTTCTGGGCTTTTCTGAAGCCCTCGTCTGCCTCTTTGGTTTCCTTGAATCCTCCCATCATCTGTTTGTGGTACGAGTCTTTCTGCCAGTTCTTCACCTTCTCAAAGTCCTCAGCGATCAGATTGTTCTTTACTTCCTGGTGAAGCTCGCTCACCTTTTCTGCCTCTGTCATCACTGCCATCCAGGCTCGTTCTACAGTGCCATACTGAGGCCCTGGTGGAGGGATGAGGGGTGAGTACAACACTGAAGCATTCATATGAAAGCAAACAAAGATGAGATGTCACAAACACAGCTCACCTTTTTCTACCAGCTGTCTCCATCTCTTAGACCACTCGGTCAGTTGCTGTGCGTAGGCTTTCTCAATCTTGGCGCGCTCCTGGATGCAGTTCATCAGGTCGTTGCAGAGCCGGTGACCATCGTCGATCCGTTTCACTGTACGTTTGTAGTTCCCAACCTTACATTAAAACAATGTCTTGGGTTACTTTCTGTATGTGGAAAACTGTCAAACATTTTGTGTTTGACCATAATACACTGGAGTGCTGTTATTTTCTGAGCTTCCCTTGACAATTAAATGGGGGGTTGTCAGGTAGCCAGGCCTGTGAGGGTGGTTTACTGTCTGCAACTCATTTACTGTCAAGCATTTCTCCCATCCACTTAAATAAATACATATTACAGGTTAGCTGGGACAGGCAGAAACAGTTCTGTCCCTACCCAGACCCTGTTTAACAGGTGAGTGATGTTGTTAGTTGAGGGGAGGGAAACGGTGACTTTGCCTTGCTCCCCTCATGCTGTTTACTGCAGAGGATCCCCCAGAATGACCTGAATTCATATACCCCAGCTGCCAGGGACAGGGTGGAGTATCCTCCTGACAACACCTCTTTGTTTGTTGAAAAGAGGTTTTAGTCAGTTTTTCAAATCTAAAGTCTTAATTTACCACAGTTGACTTATCTTTTATTTCTGTAACTCACTGGTGGCCTCTGCTGAGGAACTACAGATTAGCTATGTTTGATACATGTACTGTGAATTGCCCCTGTTAAATAAACAATCTTTTTTAAAGTATACATTTCCCTGTTCCCTTGTTCCTGTATGGATAATCTATATGCTAATGTAAAAGATTAAATAGAAAACAGAAAGTGACAAATTTACATGCCGGCCTCTGACATAGTCTGCTGCTGTTCTAAAGGTCACGGTGTCAGGTACCAAACCTCACAGCCTGCAGGTGATGCAATGGATAGAGGTTAGAGAACAGCATGGAGGAGACTTCTGCTGCTGTGTGTGCAGTTATGCAATGAAAGCTGGGGGTAGCTTATTTCCATACATTTTACAACTCTTTGTGAACACAAGAGCGGCCACTTCCCACCGAGCTGTTAGCTTTGCCCAGAAACAGAGACAGAAAGAGAGAGAGGCTGAAATCCCAGCTTACTGCATTCATCTAACACCTTTGCGACAGGGAAAAAAAAAAAAAGGTGGTATGTTGGATGTCTAATAGATGTTTACCTATACCTCACTATACTGTACCTTTCCCTGAAAGTGATGCTCAACAAATCTCAAACGTGGACCAAATGAAAGCAGAACAAATGAGTGCTTTCCACACCAGCCCGGTGCAGTCAGCCAAGTCTGTGATGAGCAGGCAGCTCTGCAGCAGTTCTATCGTAATGCAGTGAATGACTGTGACCGAGTCAGTGTGTGCTGGGAGCAGACACCTTTGCTGCTCCAGCTGATTTCTGAACACACTGCCTGGCTGAAGAGGCACAATAAGAATAAAACACAGTCGAGTCTAAAATGAAGTGATAATAAAACCCAAATGTTTGAAATGACAAAAGCACCTTCTCATTTAAAATGAACAGTCACCTATAGGGAACCTGTTGCTCAAATTACCGTGAGTTGTTTGTACTTGGGAAATGCTGTTGGTGATGGAATCTTGTGTGAGAAATCTGGTACAAAATAGAGCTAAAGAAATAACCATTTATAATAATCCGTCACTATTTTGATGGCTGATTAATTATAGTCATTTTTTGAGCAAAAATGACAAATATTCCTTTGTTACAGCTGCTCATTTGTGAGAATTGTCTGCTTTTCCCGGCCTTATGTGCTAGTAAGCTGAATATTTGGGGATCTTGGATGTAAAAAAGCAATATGAAAACATTATCTGAACAGGGATCACCAAATTAAATGTAGGATTTCTGAATAGAAAAAATTACATTTGGTAGCTGTTTCACTATCAGAAATGGAGTAGGGACAATATGACAATATATTCCATTTCTATCAGTAGTTCCCGCTATAAAAAAGTTCAATCAATTAATATGACCTGGTGTTGTGGTTTGTGTCCTGCTTCCTGTTTCGTGCTTTTATTTTTGGCTATACTTCCTGTCCTATGTCGGCTTACCTGCCCCAGCTTTACCCCGGTTCACAATCACCTTCATGGTTTCCACCTGCTGCTCGTTATCCTCTGGTCTCCTGTCTATTCTCCTTCCCTCCCTCATTCTGGTTGCTGGTTCGTTTTGTCTCCGTGCCTTGTTGCCTCTGTCCTCTGCTTGTTGTCTCCGTTCGCCACACCCCACTTGTTCATGTACTCTTGTAAGTTTGATGCTGTCTCCTGTTTGTGATCCCGGCCTGTTAGCAGTTCTTTTTGTTGGTTTCTCCAGTCTTGCCTTAGTTTCTTACCCTGCTCCCTGACCTACTGTTTAGTTTAGCATTTTGGAAGTCTTTGTTTGTCCCTGTCAGGATGAGCCTATGTATTTTTCCCCATTAGTCTCTATCATTTAATAAAGCCCTACCTGAACCTTCCCTTGCCTCATGTGTCTGCACATTGGGTCCTACCTAGCCCTTAACTGTAATGCCTGGTCAAAACAATACTATTTGTGAACTATTGGTTTATCTTGACTGATCTGGTACAAGAAGTGCCAGGATGTTTGTCACAAGAGGATAATACATCAATTGAGTATTATTCACAATGTGGATTTGTGAGGTGGTTAATTACAACAAACTGCTTCAACAATATCGAATGACACAGATCTGCACGTTTCATTTATCAGATATAGGCCTGTCTGTTAACTTTAAACAGGACACAGATGTTGGGGGATTCGGTATAGAAGTAAGAGTACATTGGGAAACCTCTACAGTGTCGCTGTTATTGCAGTGATAAACGGACAAAGATAAAGATCTGGATGCCAATACAACCGAATCAACCTCAAAAGCTCAGGCATTTATAAACAATTATAATAGTTTGTGCGCCAAACCTGACAAAGGCTTAGTAGTTTGAACCAATAAGAGGGCCTACTTGTTCTGTCATTAAAAATGAGCCAAGTGCAGAAGCAGAGGAAGGCACGCTTCATAGACAAAGCTGCGATTCTCAAAACAAGGTCCAGCTAAACCACAATATTCAGTTTAGCAATTTCACAAGTGTCTTGACCAAGAACAGAAACGACAGCATGAGGGCAGATAAATTCTCTGAACACTGTCGTCAGTAATAAGAAATGTGGTAGAGGTGAAGAAGAAATGACCTGAACATAAAAGCTCATTAAAAAGACAGCTGTGTCAAAGGAGTCACTGCGCTGTCATCCATAAATGACAAAATAGTGGCTATTACTAGTGAGCAGTCCCTGACGGTTACACAGAGAGAGCCAAAGTAATAAATCATCTGTTTGGGTTTAGTCGACTTATTCATGTAACCATTGGGCATTACGCTGAATGGTCAAAAGATCATTTGATTTGTGATTGAACACTATCTGGTGCTATACATACTGACGAGTCCACGCCCGTACATGCTGAAAGATGAGACCAGATCTTTCTTCTCAGCCCCCAGATGATGAATCAATGAGAATTCATTACTTGGCAGTTTCAGTGTCCAGTTCAGCTTAATCTGACAGACTGTTCGCTGCTGTCTCACCTCCCAGAAACTGTCTGTGGTCTCCTCCTGGAGGGCGGATTCATCATAGGCTCCAGACATGGTCCCAGATTTGGCAGGAAGGCTTCAGGTTGTGGCGATCTGCAGCAGAGAAACACTCATGTACTGAAAGAGAAGAGCACAAAGGAGTGTAACCACAGAGACCATGAGTAACATGAACAGAGGTATGTGAGATCGATTAAGACTCAAATAAAACACTTTATGAACTCATAAATCTGGTTAAAGGCTGCAGACGGTGTATAATAATGAAGCAAGCTGATGTAACTTTTGTCAGGTCTGATCAAACATCATGATCTTAATCTTTATTCTATGTTCAGGCCTTTATGATACCCACAACTGTGTTGTAGATTTCAAAGTGAATGCAACTTATTGTGTAACCAGAAAAGCACATGAAACATTTACACAAGACGCTTAATAATAATTAACCATTATATGTAAGTAAAGCTGGTTTTTAAAGAGCAATAGGTAAAACGACACTATTCACTGGACAGATTCTATGTGTTTTAGAAATTCAATGAATGCAACTACTGAAAAATTCTTAATCTTGATTATTCAATTAACTATTTGGACTAAAAAGGTCTAGAAATAGTGAGTAATGTCCGTCTCAAACTGCCTTAAAATAGCTTGTTTTGTCTAAATCCCAAAGATATTTAGTTTATAATCCTGTCAAACACAAAAAAGCAGGCAGCTCTCACATAGCTAAAAAAGTTGGAACTGTGAATTGTGGCATTTTTGCTAAAAACAAGTTAAACGATTAATCAGTTGTCAGAATAGCTGCCAATTAGTTTTGTGTCAATTGCCTGATTGACAACATTATTGAGCCCTAGCTGCCAACAAATAGCTTATTTTCATCACTTATTAAACGTAGGTATTGACTATTAAACTTAATATTTTCACTTGATAAACAACAGCTCCATCAGTTGAACAGTTGTTTCAGCACTAATCTCCCTTCTGTCATGAAACGTTCCAAACAGGCACCATGTAAGGTGGTAATACTACAAATGAGCTGTATAAAGGTCAAATTAAAGGTGGCAGTTCAGAGTGTTTTTCTTTACGTAATCACTCTCAGGACTTGAATGCTTTTGGTTGTTGCTTTCTCGACTCCCCTGAGATGATTTTGTCAACTGATATAATGACTGCTTCTTACTTTTCAGTGGTATTGACTCACACAACCACTGTTAGGACACTGTAGTGTAATTTCAGAGTAATCTTCTCATTCTAGTCAACAGTACTGGCCCAAGGCCTCGCTCAAAGGCCGTGTGCTGTTTCAGTAATTAATAGCTGTGACATGATTGACAATTTCTGAAATTAGGGCACGAAATGATTTCCAAACTGAGAGAAGATGAATTATTACATCAAAAACACTGCACAGCAGAGATTAAGAAAGCAATGATCTACGTATATCAAACTGGCTGCAGACCCTCGATGTAATAAGTAAGCAAAGACGCATACAGATTGTATATGCTAACGCTAGGTCAGTGCTGCAGTTTTATTGGAGCCATGCTTACAAGTTCAAGTTCAGTTCACAGCCCACATTGCAATTTCAAAAGCATCTACACCGTTAAACTGCCCCACGTTCACACAGCACACTGACGTTATAACAGGCTCTGAGTGGGAAGTAATTAACCACTGCCAGGGACGTGTACATACAGCTGAAACGGGGAATCCAGGGGATGCAGTGAAGCACTGAATAAGTGATGGCAACAGATAAACTTAAAATTTGTGATATTTATGACATTAATTGGTTAAATGTAGGTGTTGAGCTGAACGCATGATGCTGGTGTTTAAGCCCATTAACAACAAATCATTTATTGTTTACATTACCACTTTCTTAAGAGTACTGATGGATTTTAAATGCACAAACAAGCAAATAAAGAACAGAACTGCAGATCAAGAGGATGCACATGAACTGAATGACAAATGCAAGATGACAACAAAACAGCCAGAAGGGTTAAGTGACAGTACTGTTATCAGTGCAGTGAAATGCCAGCTGCAGCGACAAACAGGTTTCATTGAGCCGCTGCCTGAATGCAAAATATCACTAAGCAGCTGATGCGACTGTGAGAACATTTGATAAGGATTTGTTATATGATGTGCATCAGTTGGAAAATGTGAGGTCATATCCACTGCGGGGCTTCATGAAACAGCCACGGTATGCTGAGAAATGAGCCGCAAATGTTA